CTTTCACGCGCGCGCGCGCGCGCTCTTCTCCCCCTCCCAAACTGAGGGAGGCGTGGCGTTGGGGGGGGCAAAGAGAGAGAGAGAGTGAGAGAGAAAGGCGAGGCCCCCTCCGGCAAGCCAGCCAAAGCACGCAGGCGCGTTGTAGAGTTTTGCTCCTGGCCTCCTTCCTTCTCGACGGCCTTCACAGCACACTTTCCCACCACCCCCCGCTTCTTCTCCTCTGTCCACTCCTACTCTATGCTGCCGGAAGTGAGGTTCACCTGGCGGGGTAGCGCGTGCTGAGGAAGGGCGAGGGGAGGGGGGGGGACGTAAAAAAAGCGGAAAGGGCTGGGGGGTGGGGTAAAAAGGGGGAGGGATTACAGACTACCTTCGCAGTTTGGCTCCTCCCGCTTGGTCCGTGGTGGGCGGGGCGGGGGCGGGGGCGGGGCTTTTGCTCTCGCCTGAGCTTCGTGAGGCGAATGTTCGCAGAGGCTTCGCTGCGTCCGTTGGGGACGGGCCGTTAGGCGGAAGGCGGGAAGGGGTGTGGCTTCTGGAGGCTGGCCGTGGCACCGCTGTTATCTGTAGTACAAGCTTACACACACGTATCAGCGAAGGTTCTTTTGCTCCATTTTATGAAAAGGAAATTAATTCCTCTCCTTGCACTGTGGAGTGTGGAACTCCTGGCCACAGGATTTTAGAAAAACGCCATATATTTAGCATTAAAATTTGAGTTTATGTGGACTGCCAGTTATTCATCAAGTGAGGTAAAGGGCTGTATGAAGTAATGAAACCCAAGAGTCTTGGATCCAGAGAGCAAGGAAGGAAGAAGGATCCATCCAAATGAATAAAGACCAAGAAATAAAACGGGATGCAGAAATCTAGAATTCTTCAGACCACAGGATGAGAAATGAAATGTTAATTGTACTGTAGTAAACAACTGATCATTCAGGGTAAAATAAATGAGGTAGGTGATGTGGAGGGGTTTACAATTTCATGTTGGAAGGGTTGTGCAAGAGGTGACCTAAGTTGACAGCAGTCTCTTACTGCACATGGATCTGGGAAAGGAAGACCTAATTTCTATTATCCACTGGGTACAAACAGACATAAACCTCCTAATATCTTCTTTGTGCATTGGTGGTACCAGTGGGGCTATATAAGGAATTCATGCCTGAGCATTGGAATCACAGGAAATGATACAGAATTTCTCTCCAGAGATTCAATTCTCTTTCAATAGAGACAGCTTTGTAATTAGCTTATCTGTGTCAGGAGTCAGGATGAGTTCTAGCGGGCCATTAATCTTTATCAATCTTGTAAAGTTAGGTCAAAAAAGTTTCTCAGATATACACAGAAAATGCTGCTATCAAGCCAAGTTACGAAATGTTTGTCATTAAAATACTACTATAATTAAAAATATAATTAAGACTTTCTCTGACTTTGGGATTGTCCCTTTTTTGGAACTCAGCGGCTGGGGAAGTCCAAAGATGCTTCAGTAGTCAAACTTCCTTTACCGTAAAAATGGCAATGACCCTTTTTGCCTTTTCTTAGCTATTTTGCATTTACAATCAAAATGTGACAGTTTATTGATTTTGGAATTATCTGGTTGAACAAGGACCACTTGGATTGCCTTATTCTTATTCAGCATATGTTAGAAAAAGCCATGAGATTGGAAAGGGACAAATCTTGAGTTTAAAATCTCTGTAGTTCTACGATTAGATGTCAATAAATTAACAGGGACATGATACAGATCTTTAAGCCCAAGTATCTCATATTCGCCAAGGGTCGGATACGACTTAATGGATAATTCAGTTTGATCTTATATTCTGCCATCATCACTAATGGAATGGAAAACTTGCCATGTTCTCAAGAACTGTATTAAAACTGGAACTGTATTAAAATCTGTTATCAATAGCATAGGTATCAGTGTCACTCTGATAACAGATATTTAAATCTTTCTTTTAAGTTGAGGACTCAACAACATCCATGCTGAGGCTGCCTTGACTGGGGCAGCTCAGGACTTCATGGCGACCATGACAACCATGGGACTGTCTCAATATGCCACCGGCCCGATACATGAGAAGGGCCATACCTTGGACCTGGTTTTCTCAACGGGACTGGAAGGTGGTGGTTTGGATGCGGAGGGGCTGGTTGTGACCCCATTGTCATGGTCAGACCACTTCCTGGTTGAGTTTAGTCTCTTAGCTTCTTCTCCCCTTCTGCAAGGGTGGGGGATCTATTAAGATGATATCCCCTTGGAGACTAATGGATCCGGATGGTTTCCTGAACGCTCTGGGGGATTATCCATCTGATATAGTTGGCGTTCTTGTCGAAGCTCAGGTCACCCTATGGAATAGGGAGATGACCCAGGCAATTGACACGATTGTGCCTAAGCGCCCTCTCCCTGCACACAGAGCCCAGACAGCTCCTTGGTATACTTCTGAACTGCGGATGATGAAGAGACAACGGGCCTATTTCGTGGCAATACGGCTGGCGAAACGGCAATATTTCTCCAGCCGTATTGCTTCCTCAGAATGTCGTCCAGCAGAGCTGTTTCGGGTGGTCCGGGATCTTCTTCAACCGGGAAACCCGGTGGAGGTCCCGGACTGCTCATCAGCTCGCTGTGATGAGTTTGCTATTCATTTTGAGGAAAAAATTGCTCAGATTCGCAGTGGGCTGGACTCCACTGTTACTGCAAAATCGGAAGATGTGTCCAGTGTGCCGTGCTTAGGTCAAACTTTAATGGATGAGTTTCAATTGTTGAGACCTGATGATGTGGACAGGGTGCTTGGATCTGTCCGTTCTACCACCACTCCGCTCGACCCTTGCCCATCCTGGCTAATTGGAAGATCAGCCAGGGGGGTTCGCACCTGGGTCCAGGAGGCCGTGAATGCCTCTCTGAGAGAGGGAGTGGTCCCTACCGCCTTGAAAGAGGCGGTAATTCGACCACTCCTTAAAAAGCCTAACCTGGACCCAAGGCTGGTGGTCAACTACCGACCAGTGGCGAACCTCCCTTATTTGGGCAAGGTGTTGGAGCGGGTTGTGGCCGGGCAACTCCAGGCGCTGCTGGATGAAACGGATTTTCTGGATCCATTTCAATCGGGTTTCAGGCCGGGTTTTGGTACAGAGACAGCCTTGGTCGCCCTGTATGATGACCTTTGCCGGGAGAGAGACAGGGGGAGTGTGACCCTGTTGATACTCCTGGACCTCTCAGCGGCTTTCGACACCATCGACCATGGTGTCCTTCTGGATGCACTTGTTGGGTTGGGAGTTAGGGGCACTGTTTTACAGTGGTTCTGCTCCTTCCTGGCTGACTGTGTCCAGAGGGTGGTGCTGGGAGATAGTTACTCTGTCCTATGGCATTTATATCATGGAATTCCTCAGGGCTCAATACTGTCCCCCATACTGTTTAACATCTACATGGAACCGCTGGGAGAGGCCATCAGGAAGTTTGGGCTGAGGAGTCAGCAATATGCTGACGACACTCAGCTCTACCTCTCGTTTTCCACCAGTCCAGGTGAGGCGGTTTCTGTGCTGAACTCATGTCTGGACCTGATAATGGACTGGATGAGGGTTAATAAATTGAAACTCAATCCAGACAAGACGGAAGTGCTGTTAGTGGTTGCTTCACCGGACAGGCTGGAGGGCCATTTCCCTGCCCTGAATGGGGTTACACTCCCCCTAAGGGACAGGGTCCGCAGCTTGGGGGTGCTCCTGGACCCCAGTCTAACTCTGGAAGCCCAGCTGGACTCGGTGGCCAGGGGCACCTTCCTTCAGCTGCGGAAATTATGCCAGCTGCAGTTACACACGCACTGGTAACATCCTGCATAGATTACTGCAATGCGCTCTACGTGGGGCTGCCTTTGAAGACAGTCTGGCAACTGCAACTGGTCCAGAATTGAGCTGCACGGCTCGTGAGTGGTGCGGCCGATAGGGAACATATCAAGCCGATTCTGGTTAAGCTACATTGGCTACCAGTTGCTGCCCGGGGCCAATTCAAAGTGCTTGTTTTGACATATAAAGCCCTAAACAGCTTGGGCCCTGGATACCTGAAGGAGCGCCTCCTTCCATATGAACTTACCTGGCAGATAAGATTAGCCAGGAGGCCCTTTTGAAAGAGCCGTCCAGGTGGTAAGAGGGATGGCTTGTAGACAAAGGGCTTTTTCCACAGCTGCCCCCAGACTATGGAACACCATCCCAATTCAAAGTCATCTGGCGCAAACGCTGGTTACGTTTCAGCGCCAGGTCAAAACCTTCATGTTCCAGAAGGCTTTTAATTGAAATAATATCAACTGTGGGTCCTGATGGCAATTTTTAGAGTATGTACAGTATTTTAATTGCATTTTAATTGTTTTATCTTTTTAATTGTATCTAATTGTTCTAAGCTGCCCAGAGACCTTTGGGTAGAGTGGGAGGGATATAAGTTAAATAAATATATATATTTTTTAAAAAAAATAAGTTTTGAAATTTAGATCAATTTTCACATTCATGTGCAAACTAAATGAACATAAAAATCCACCTTCCCCAAAAGTGGTGGGGAAGAGGACTTCCACTGTCCTCAAGATCCAGTTCGGCTGCAAGGGTTTGTATTCTTGACAATATGAGCATCAAAAATACCATCCAAGGTTTTAACATTTTAGTTAACTACCCTGGTGGACAAGTTTTGTTCAAATGGGGTACAGCTGCAATCAGTAGATCACATGGAGCATTACCCTTGCAGGACATTTCCTTAACAGCACTGTGTTGCTATAAATAAGAACACTGTGACTGCCTAAATAACAACCACAAATGTACATGGTTTCCGATAAGCACTCAGGACTCATCCAAGTGGAGAATTTTATTATTTTATGCACGAAAGCAGTATTTCCCCCCCCCATCAAGACAATGCAAGATTTAACTGCAAGAGAGTTTAATAAAA